GTCGTCGCATCGGTTTTTTTTCTTTGGGTCTTGAACTCGTATCCTGGAAGATTATTTTCGGTTAACGTACATGTTCTTGGTTCTTTCTTTTTTTTATACCTTTTTATTCCCTTTGGTATTGGCTTGTTTATTTGCAAATCAATACACCGAAGTTTTTCTGAGCGAGTGTAGTTCCTTATACTTATAAGATTTTTTAATAATAACACAATAATAATATATATATATATATATATATATATATATATATATATATATATATATATATATATATATATATATATATATAGTGGTCAATATATATATATATATATATATATATATATATATATATATACAAAGGACGGAATCCACATAGAGCTCAATGTTCAGGACAGAGCAAGAATATTATATAATATAGAAGGCTCAAAGACTAATATTCCATGGTTATAATTTATTACATTGGAATCGTAATCACGATCCAATTCATTAGACCTACAAATTCATTATCGATATATATATATATATATATATATATATATATATAAAACGTCCTTTAGATTTTTAGTCGCATGTTATCGCTAGAGATTTCTTCCTGAATTGGACATTGTTTTTATTAATGACCCGTTAACAAAGACAGCGTTTGTTATTTGAATCTTAACGTATGGTATTACACTATATGCTATTTGCTTGTTGAAGTTTATGAATTCAAGTTTAGGGCATTTGCATAGAGTCCAATATCGTTAGCAGCATTTTTAAGAGCACGTAGGAGAGCTGTGGAATTGGTGATGGTGTCTTCAACCATAGCTAGGATATCTTCATAGTCAATATCGGTCAACATTTTAGCAGGATATCGATTTGAGAGCCTTGGAGATAAAGTAAAAGCTAAATGAAGATGTATGTCAGATGAAATTCTCAATACGTAATAAAACATGACAAACATAAATATTACAAATATAAAAAATATACAAATTGTTATGGTCCAGGTTAGGACCAAGGAAGAACAACACGAACACAAGAGTAGAAATAACGAAGGTATATTACACAAAATAATAATACAAGATGTGGAAGGTGTTAGTATGACTGTCAGTCTGGTTTGGAGTGAACTACTATCAGCTCGACTCGATTCGTCCCTCTCTCTTGAGAGGCGTAGTATACATAGTGTTAGGAAGAGTTCATTCTGTAGCTATAGGTAAGGACCCATGACAGATGAAATAAATATGTAAAACAATAATAATTAAATAGTCAAACACAACGTCATACCTATTCGTAATGTAAAGCATTGGATAAAAGAAATGGGAAAGGCCGGTTTCTTTCTGATCATACTTTCCTTAATGGTCCAGTGACCTATATACACAGCCTATACACGGAGTAGTTACAACCGCCTGAAGATCGTTCGAATCGCCACCATACAGAGCATATATATATAATAGCTGGCCATTCGTATTCGAAGATACCTGTTCACTAGGGCGGCTAGCCAATCTCTATTGCAGAGGCTCGCTCGAGCACAGAGCCCACATGGGGTTTATACTGCAACTATGTTGAGCAGACTTTAGTTACAGTTTCTGGAAGAGAGCGTGTTATCTAGCGTGATCAACAATTTGACCAAGGCCAGCAGGCCGCAGCCCTCGGTCACGATGACTTGTGGCTTCGTGCTAGCACAGCTATCAACGGCCCAAAGAGTTGGTTCAACTCGTGGTGTGATTTTCAGGTGCCGCACGCTGGGATCGACCTCGATCTACTCCGATAACATCAGGAAGTCTCCTTCCTTACGTGGTGAGATTTGAGCCTGTCTCTCATAATCAGAAAGCGAACGTTCTAACCACTCGGCCTCACATATATATATATGTGTAGGCACGGTGGGGTAATGGATATCGGCTTGGATTGTGGAATCGCGGAGCCGAGTTCGAATCCAGGTTGAATCCATTACATTCACTTACCTGCTAATACCCTTGGAAAAGGTGTGAATCCTCTTCTGCTCCCTCCAGCTATGGTTTAAATAGCAGGACAGACTGGGTTCTATAGCCTTGGATGGCAACTGGTCTAGGAGAAGGACAACTCTGAATTCAAAACCTGAGGGTTTTTTTTTGGGAACCTTGTGGCACGTAGTGCACCAGGTCTCTGTAATAAGCCCTTCAAAAAGTGTGGATGGTCCTGCACGAAATCTTCAGCACTATAATCGAATCTCATGTGCCGCTGTCGGGCTGTCAGTTTCCTGGAAACTGATCAGCTTGACCCTCATACGTCGAACACGACGGGAGAATCCGATTTTTTTTTTATTTATATATATATATATATATATATATATATATATATATATATATATATATATATATATATATATAAGTATGGTATAATTATGTATAAAATTGCTCAATATCGGGCATAGGCCTATGTAAATACTGAAGTCAAGACCATTAAAGTCTGATCATACCGTTCAAGCCTGAAAAAGACTGTCACCACTTCGTGTTTACCTGTCTCCACACCACACACACACACACATATATATATATATATATATTTTTCCACTGATTTTCAACGAGATATTTCAATTGGCTATTTCAATACTCACTGCTATTTATCCTCATTAACTTTTGTATTTTTTCAATTGCCACCTTAAATGAAAATGTTGATGAAACTTTTCAACAGTAAATATGATTCGCTTTCGTCTGTGAAAAGGAAGTGATGTTCAATTAATTTTTCTCATTGTTTCTCCTATTTTTATTAAATTTGGAATTTTTTGATTGTCACGTGTTCCAATGTTGGATTTCTTGCATATAGAATTCCGTAACATAAATCCTGCAATATTATTTTTAAAATGCTGCGGGAAAAGATGGAAATCGTCAACAATGGGTTTCTAATGAACTTGGTGGAAATATCTTAACATTAATTTAAAATTTCTGCACCATAAGAATTGATATTTCTGCTTGGCTGAAAAAAAAAAAGTTGTTTTTTTTCCTTTATATTTGTACAAGGTATTATTTCTTGAACATTTTGGGTAAATTAACCTTTTAAGTTGGCCTTCAGTTTAAAATAAATATAAGCCTAAAAATATAATAACTCTAAGAGAAAAATATACGAATGCCTTTTGATAAATTAAGTTATTCATCGGAGCAATCAAAAAATATGAAAAAAAAAAGAACAAGGGAAATAACTCTTGCAAATTATTATTTCCTTAAGCAAAATACACAGTGATAACGAAAACTCCAGCTGGTAAGCAAATACGTTGTAATTCATACAGATTAATAGTCAATGACATTTTTTTATATATAATTTCTACATAATAACGTTTTTTATAATGTTTCATAATTGCTACATAATAGCTACATAATAATGTTTTTAATATTGCTTCATAATTGTTACATAACAATTTTCTTAATGATACTTCATAAATACTACATAATAATATTCCTTATAATGCTTGATAATAGGTTCAAAATAATGTTCTTTATAATGCTTTATAATTACTACATAACAATGTTCTCAATAATACTTGATAATTGTTACGTAATAATGTTCTTAAAAACGCTTGGTAGTTACTACATAATAATGTTCCCTATAATCCTTGATAGTTGCTACATAATAATGTTTTAATAATAATTTTACTTGCTATATAATTTGCAAATTTACACATTATTTCATTAAGATTCCTTATGCTAGATTCTATGTAGAAATACATTTTTAATCATCTAACATCCACTAGGATGAACGGTGTTACTGAAAGTGAAAGAAAAATGGAGGACAAATAAAGAACTGGATTCGAGGTGACAAAAAATGACGACTGACATTGCATGGAAATGTTTCAAGATCATAGTTGGTATTAAGAGTGTTCTAACGAGAAGGCACGGTGCAGTAATGGATAGTGGCTCGGATTGTGGAATCGGAGAGCCGAGTTCGAATTCCAGTCGAATCCATTACATTCACTCACTTTCTTCTCATCCCCCACCCCAGCTATGGGTAAAGAGCTGGAGAGACAGGGGTTTTAGCCTCGGAAAGAAATGGTTACCTACTACGGGAAAAAAATCTGCCTCGTCAGTCATGTATCGAAATGTACATGATCGCCTAAGCGTGTATCACGCTTGGCATATAACTGACTGAATGATGACAACGGGAAAAGGGAGTTGCTTCGATATGTAATCGTTCTGAATTTTGCTGATTCGTTACATTTTGGCAGGTTTCTCGTTATTGTACAATCACAGACAGACACGCAGTCACTACACTCACACACATACACGCACATATTACACTCAGACACAATACATACACAGACAAAAACAAAAACACACATACAAACACATATAGAATAACAAGTAATAGTAATGAGAATGTTAGCCTTTTACTAATAAAGAAATATTTTCATTCATTGGTCAAGGAGACAATGAAACCTGTGACTTTAATTTCTGGAATCTTTCTCTCAAAAATTTTTTTTAGAAGAATGGGTCTCTCAAGTTCAGTAACTGTTAATATTCTTGCCGCTATTGATGGGAATTTTCTTTATAACCTTTTGTTTCGGGTAATGTGGAAAGGCCAACATCATTGTATTATTCTCGAAGTTACATGTGCAATCCATTTTAGCTGTTGCTACTGTTGAAAGTCCTCAAGTGATGTGGTATCTGTTATTTGTTAAACACTCACATATATGAATACATGTTGATATTCTCACTACCTTGCCGATTCAAATATCTATTAGGAAACACGTTTTCCTGTTGAAATTATAAAGGATAGTCATTTAATAATTAATATCTTAAAGCAAATTCAACACCAAAGAGTGTTTCTTTTATTTGTTACACAGTCATGTCGATAAGTTATTGACTGACATTACCTGTCAACATTGTAAAGAAAATTCGGTAGAAAATATAAATATCGACCATAAGATTTTAGCGTTTTAAATGAAACAAAAGGGCCGATGACGCGTACTCAGTATCTGTCTATATTTCTGAGATGAGGTATTATGTACAATATTTACATTGTTCGGACTATTATCCTCATCTTTTTCGCCATATTTATTACAAAGTTTCGGTCGTTCTACGCTCCGGCTTCTTCATGTGGCTGGAATGTCGAACTGGGCCATTAATTTCGCTCACTGGGGTAGACTGTTCTAGTTCCACGTGCCATGTCTAACGGATGTCAGTTATGTCATATGAATCCATTCTGATTTTCTCTTCTCTTGTCCTTCTTCGAATGAGACCAATTTTTTTTAAAAAATATCTAACCAGTTTTTTTTTTCTTCTTATGCATGCAGGAGATATGTTTGGTCACGAACATAAAATTCTATTTTATTTCCTGAGTTGTTTATTTTCTGTTTTCTTTTTGAATTTGTAGGTCTGATGAATTGGATCGTATTTACGATTCCAATGGAATAAATTATGACCATGGAATATTAGTGTTTAAGCCTTTTTATTATATATATATATACATATATATATATATATATATATATATATATATATATATATATATATATAAATAAACATAAATAAACATATATATATATGTATATGTGTATGTGTAAAATTGCAGAAAACTAAAAATATATCTCTAAAAGAAACATGAATAAAAACAAAAGGAAAAAAAATACTGCAGGCCACGCGTTTTATTTTGTTATACCTTGATAATGTCCATCAGGTTGATTACCATTTTCTTAAAGACGCCTTTTATTTATCAACTATATATATAACTAGCTAGCATTATGTTAAATTACGCTCCCACGCTTCTTTTGATTTTTCTTATAAGGAAAGTTGAACGTCAGACTTCGATACATCTTACGAAGAATGTACGAACCTCTATCTGTCCATAAGGAAATTGTCTAGATATTATATGCAGACAATTTCATGTCATGACGGTGAATTTGAATTTAGTGTAGATTCTCATTCCATTGGTTAATCACAGCAGAGGGCACAAGCCTATTTTTTTAAAAGTATTCTGCTTTTAACATTAAATTAATCTTTCATGCGCCAGTAATTTATACATCCTCCTCCGAGACACATTTATGGTGTTGAAACATAATTGCCATTATGTAGCGATTTTTAGCATTTTTTAATATTCTAAAATAAATAATATTTAGCTCTACTCTGCATTGAGCCCTCTTTTAAATTAAATGTTACGTACAGTGGATTTATCCTCCATTTGCTTTGATTTTACCTATATATATATATATATATATATATATATATATATATATATATATATTATATATGTTATGGGATCTTACCCATAATAATAATAATAGACTATTCCATAATGAATACTGCGCCTCAGGAGCACGCAAGGAATCAGTAGTTCAAGTCGATCTCGGTCGACCGGCTGATCGGTTGCGCTCTCTGCCTTCGGGCGGGGAGGAACCCGAACGCTATGCCGAAGCGCGGATTCTCTTTCGAGGAGGTAAACCGACCCTGAACCCGTTTATACGGGTTCAATGGGCATATTTTTGGCCGAGCCCACGGGCTCAGAGATTTCACGTCAAACCGGCCTTGTGCCACATGATGCCCACGTGGCGGGTGACTAAATATAGTCAGTAGTTCAAGTCCTGACCGGCTGTTCGGTTGAACTCTCTTCCTTCGGGCGGGGAGGAACCCGAACGAGGCTACGCCGAAGGGCGGAGACTCTTTCGGGGAGGTAAACCGGCCCTGAGTCCTTTTATACGGGTTCAATGGGCAGAACCCACAATAAATAACCGACCTTGTGTCACATGATGCCCCAGTGGGGGGGTGACTGAATATCGTCAGTACTTCAAGTCGTGTCAAGAGTAGAGTCAGAGGCGGCCAGAGTCGCGTTCAGAAAATTACTGGAAGACATTGGAATAGTGATATTGGTCGAGACTACATTGTTCTCTATACTAAACCTGATTGTTCATGCTAACACTTCTACTTCTCTGTATATATTCCTGTTTGTAATATATCTGTGTTATTCCATACCTGTGTTCGAGTTCTTTATTGGTTCTACCTTGGACTATCACCGTTGGCACAAGGAACCGACCATAACAATATATATATATATATATATATATATATATATATATATATATATATATATAGAGAGAGAGAGAGAGAGGGAGAGAGAGAGAAAGAGAGAGAGAGAGAAAGAGAGAAAGAAAGATGAGGGAGAGATGTAAAAATACACACACATATATAGATGGAGATAGATACTGGGCGAGATAAAGAAAAATAGAAAATGAAAGAGAAGCAGTTAACACGACAAGGGGAGTGAAAAATCCTTGAGAGAATGAGAATGGTACGATGTAAGAATGCGAAACAAGAATATCATCAGTCATATAAAAAAAGAGAAAGGTGTTTAAAAGAGATCTTATCAGAGAGAAGAAAAGTTCGAGTGACAAAACTAATCAGAATTAGTGAGAAAAAAATGTCGAAGCGGGAACATTTTTCAAACTACGACGTATACAAAGACTGAAGGAGAGAAAGAGAAGAAGTGAAAGAGAAAGACATCATCAAACTTAAAATGTATGAAAGATAGATGGGCAAAGGGAAAGAAACAGAAAAAGGTAGAGAGTGAAAGACAAAATGTTGACTGTTACAACCATGCAGCTATTCGCAGTATTCCATTCGACGCCCTATTGTCTGACTTACTAACTTCAAGAATGCTCCCAGCGATGCAGAAGGCCATGATTTACAACTATTTATAGCAAAAGCAGGGTTTTATGTCGTTAATGTAAAGCATACTCACAATTACACTACAATCAATAGATGATTTAAATAAATATTAGTGTTTTTTTATATGATTTGTTTTCTTCTGATATTTCCTTAAGAATCAGAATTGTTCTTTATCGGAATAACTTTTTTCATTTTTCTACTATTCATAAGGAGTCTTATACGAGGATTATCTATTTGTTTCATATTTTCTTTCATTCGCTTGGTTAATATTTAAAAAAAAAAGACGTTGAACAATAAAATTAAGACATTTTTAAAGAAGCATATATGTATATATAAAGGGTCTATCAAAATACTTTTACAAATTTTGGAAGGACATACTCCCTCAAATCATTCGTTTTTAAGTTATTAGGTGCTGTTAAATGTGCAATCCAAGATACGATCCAAAAATACTTATGACCACAGTTTGTAGTGCCACTGATTCTGTCTCAGCAACACAACAATAAACATCAGCAAAGCTCTGATGAGTAACGCAATCAGATAGAGCCGTGCAGCCTCGCGTCCATTACGATTTACGCGGCCGTATGTAAAAATAACATTTGCCTGCTCATGATATGAAATTCCTACCTTTGTTAAACGAAAAACTTGTCATTTAACTTACTACTACACATGTTGAAGACAGACGAGCCACAAATGTTCAGGCATGACAAATTTAATCTAATCTACATGGCAACACAACGCCATCTACTGTAAACTTTCTTTAAACTTAATAACTAACGAACGAAGGATGTGCGACGATATGTTTATATGGATTTTTGTTCTTGTTTAGTTTGACGAAAGCCACTCCGAAGTTTGTGTGTGTGTGTTTGTACATATCTATCTGTCTATCTATCTATCTATATATATGTGTGTGTGTGTGTGTGTTTGTGTGTGTGTGTGTGTCTGCGTGTGTGTGTGTAAATGTGTGAGTGTAAATATATTATTTTTATAAAAATGTTTCTAGCAATAGTTCTTCATGATTTTAGCAACGGATTATATATATACATACATATATATATGTATATATGTGTGTGTGTGTGTGTGTGTGTCTGCGTGTGTGCGTGTGTAAATGTGTGAGTACAAATATATTATTTGTATAAAAATGTTTCTAGCAATAGTTCTTCATGATTCTAGCAACGGCTTATATATATATATATATATATATATATATATATATATATATATATATATGTGTGTGTGTGTGTGTGTGTGTGTGTGAATCTGTGTGCAAGTAGGCGTGTCTGTATGTGCATTTGTATTATCGCAAGAAATTGATGCGAGAAGATTAAAGAGGACTACTTTCACAGGGAACATTTGAAAAGAAGTGATACACATATGCAACACACGCATATATATATGTATCTTTGTATGTTTTAGATATTTTTCTGAGAAAAATATTTTCAAATAATATATATATATATATATATATATATATATATATTTTCCAAGTGGATGGAATCCAGGTAGAGCTCAATATATATATATATATATATATATATATATATGTATGTAAATTTTATATAACGATAGAATTTAAAGTTTGTTATACTTACAGAAGAAGGGTGCCCGTTTATGGAAGAAACTGCTTGACATATGGGTTGACACTGCATGATAACTCTCAGTTAAATGGCTCTATCGTATCTTCCTGTAACAAACCTTTTTCGCATGAAATTTAAACACACACATTTATAAATATATATATATATATATATATATATATATGGCAAGTTACGTAGCGTAACGTACGTCAAAATCTGTAGAATTTTGCCAATAATAATGCACAATATTTTTATTGTTATCAGAAAATGACCACAATTCTCATGACAGCGTATAGATAAGAATATATTAAGTCAGTTTTCCATTATTGTGGAACTACTCTCTCTCTCTCTCTCTCTCTCTCTCTCTCTCTCTCGGGCTATATATATATATATATATATATATATATATATATATATATATATATATATATATATATAAAGAGAGTAAGTCATTTACTTAGACGAAATATTCCAGGGATAGCTGCTATTAAATCTTATCAAAACAAAAATCTACGACACGGATCTTTTTCAAATATCTCAATTCCTGAAAGAATTACTATTTTCTTAAGCCAAGATTCTAGACTATAAAATGTTAAGAACTGAAAAGAAAACGGTCAAAGTCATATTCACATGTTATTTAGAATATGTAACACATAAATTAATCCCAAACTAAAATAATTGAAATATTCATTAATATTTAATATGCATTAAATATATATCATTTACTCACTGTCGTTTATTGGCCATTGAATTTTGTCACTTGGTGTCCTCCATAGCTTGACGAGACACTGCAGATAACCTGATAAATATTTATGAGCGTTAGTAAATATAAAAAAAATGAAAAAAACAACATTTTTGCATTTATATATAAACACCTGTTCCAAAATACAATCTTTATATTTGCCTTGAGGACGAGTTTTACTTTTGTTTTATTCACACACACACAAAAGACAATCATATATATATATATATATATATATATATATATATATATATATATGTGTGTGTGTGTGTGTGTGTGTGTGTGTGTGTGTGTGTGTTTGTGTGTGTGTGCGTGTGTATATACACACGAACGCAGACACACGCGTACCCACACAGTAATATATATATATACTTAAGTAATTGGAATTAAGATACATTTAGTTAATGACCTTCTAAGGAAAGTTGAACGTCAGACTTCGATATATCTTATGAAAGAATGTAAGAACCAGTATGTGTCCATAAGGAAATTGTCTAGATATTATATGCTGACAATTTCATGTCATGACGGTGAATTTGAATTTAGTGTAGATTCTCATTCCATTGGTTCATCACAGCAGAGAGCACAAGACTATTTTTTTTAAAGTATTCTGCTTTTAAAATTAAATTAATCTTTCATCCGCCATTAATTTTAATTTTAAAATTCGCAGGATTTTTCAAACTGTTTATGGTATCAATCATCAGTATCCAGAACTGATACCATTTTTAAAGAAAATTTTGGACTGTTTAATGAAATAAACATTGAGCGCTCTTTTGCGAGTCAGTTTTAAAATATTTCAAATTCTATGTTGTGTCAATACGACTCGCCTGTATTATACCAACGGAATACTACCTGCATATATATATATATAAAAATATATATATATATATATATATATATATATATATATATATATATATATATATATATATATATATATATATATATATATATATGGGGTGTATGTTGCGCTATGGATAGTTGGAGTATGCAGAATGCCTATGAATCTTCTTCATGTCGCTACATCTCATGGGGTCTGCAATTTCTCTTAAATCAGTAAAACATTTTAAAAGCTCCCTTAACCAAATGACAAACAAATTTATTTTGGATATTTGTTTTGGGATTGTTTCCGGTTTTCATGATTGATATTCTGTACTACGCATGCGCAGTGAATGCTTATGACACAATGTACAAATCAAGCTCACTTGTTGAAGGCTAACATTTATATTCAATCCGATGTCCCTGCTCTTGTCTCCTAAATTGACTTTTCAACCAAGCCTTTTATAGGCAGACACAGATACATTCTTCACAACCCTATTTGTGTCATAAATAAGTCAATGTAATATTTCTTTTTGCTCGTATATTTTACTTGGGCTTCGTTGATGTATTCTTCTTTGTGGACGATTGCTCAAAAAAATCTACAGTTTTTACGTTCTTGATACATTTACATCCAGTGATTCTCTACAAAGATCAAACTAGTTGCTGGCTCCTTTGTTTCGCCAGTTCAGATATTTCCAGCTATGTATCGCCATATTAGATCCACGTCTACATTTCTTTTGAGAATCTCGTGATACATCGTCGGAGCACGAGAATGGCTACAAAATTCAATACACGGACGAATGGTAGGTTTATAAAATGTGTAATGTGGAGTATGACGAGGAAGAAATGTCTGATACGATACAGACGTTCTGATCAGACCTTGCAAATGATTCAATATAATCAGCCAATTCGTCAAGAGAAACATAGAACTAAGAAGGCGCAATGAAATGCTTTCCTAGAGATTAGCATCACCCCTGCTGATGGAATACAAAATGGCTCTCTATGATGATTAAAGGATAGCAGGTTCGCTTTAGAAGCGTTAAAATATACAAGTCATTTGTTGTTCCAGTTAACAATTAATTATATCTCTTGCGATAATTAAAAATAACTTTTCTGTATTATCCGTAAGTTTTAATATCATCAGATAACGAAAGCACTGATCACATAATAAATCAGTGTGAGTTGGTATGAATTAACACAGTTATCTCCTCATGGAATTAAAAGGTCACATCTTCACTTCGCTAGGTGTTGCTGCTGTGTTTACTCTAGCAAATTCTGTTTTTACGACGCGGAAATGCTAGTCCTATAGCTAACCAGTACTTATATGGATTCAGCTTTAACTTAACCTAGGCTAGTTGCCAACCAAAGTTAAAGAACCTGTCTAATCAGCTAGTAATTCCTAGATGAGTTCGAAATATGATGCAGGCATACATTTCCGAGGTTATATATGCGAAAGCGAAAGTAAAGACCTTGGTTGAAATTTGAATTAGAAATGCAATCCTAATTTCCAGGCCGATGACCGATACGCTTCCATGATATTGACAAATAAGATAAATTAAAATGTTGTTCCAAGACTTGACTCTCTTTACAGAAATCCATCATTTTAAATACGGATTTGTATGGGTAATTAATCGGATATGGAATAAATATTCGAACAAAAGTAGAGAAAAAAGTGGGAAAAACTATTGAGACAGCCGCTTCCGGTCGAAATGAAATGTGTAAGGAAAGTGTTTTAGAATATAAGGAATCCCGTAGCCATTTAGGCTCGTAGGGGCACCACATCCA